TGTTTAGCACATTTACGAAGTTGTATAGGTGGCGTCAGTAGTCAAAAACGCCAGCGCCACCTACATATTTCATTAAAATCAATCTTTCTTTTCAAACATGCATTTCACAAGGTGTTTCCATATTTTGTCCATCCACTGTATATGATCAATAAATCTATCACTACTAATCGGTCACATTTTGTTAATTGTGAACGATTTAATACCTTTTCTTACTATTACAACAATAAACTTTTAATTTAACATTTGTAAGGTCTTCAGACGTTATTTTAAAAAAAAGCACGAAAAAAATGTGCTTTTTTACAATGAAAATAAAAACTAGCATAATAAATTCAACACTTGTAATAGTTCTGACTGCTGATTTGGATTTATACAGTCAAAAGTAGTTAATCCGGTCTCATCGAGACTTCGGCGATTTAGGATTATAGATCATCAGATTAAATCTGGTAAGATGGCATGCAGAAATAATAAAATTAAAAATATGAAACCGTAATTTATGAAATAAAGAACAATTATGATCTAAAGGGTATCAAAAGTTACAAAAATAAGCTTAATATTTATTTGTTTACTTTATTAAACATTTCTTTCAATGTAACTTGTTTAAGTTGCTTCGTTTTTCATGTGATAATATATTCTCTTTAATTCTATAAACAGACATAATTTCTTGTTCAGTTATAAAGTTCCGCTGTTCAAATTCCTATAATTGCTGTGTCGAGAATACCGACTAATTAGTCAATTGAAATTTTTTCGTTTTCAATAACCTCTGTGTCACATTCTTCACTATCGGAAGCGAATTATAATGACGAGGAATTTGAGTTTAATTATATCAAAGAAGGAGTACATCGAGATGGAATACTACATTTAGTAAGGAATTCTAAGCCAAATAAAATAAAAACATCTGCCCTGAAGATAAGGATAGTGCTGACAGATCAACTTCCAATTCACTGTGCGCCGCGACTTTCCCCCTCCCAGAGTAGCGTGAAACTGATAAACAGATTTCGGAATTGTTAGAAAAACGAAAGATATTCCTTTATCCATTTTTTGCAGCAATTCCACTTTTTGTTTAATGGAATTCGAAACATGCTTCCGCTTTGTAGATCCTTTACATATTAGTAAATATATATCGGAAATTCTATTTGACATAATCAAGCTTACTTTTATAAAATTGCTCCAACAGTCTGCAAAAAATAATAAGCCAGATCCAATTCGAAGATTATGGAACAACGCAATCTGAAACATTACCTGAATTAGATAATTTTAGCTTAGCTTATACTGTCCGTTATACATTAAACACGCATGTGTAAACGTATTATGCGCATGCGCACATGCATATTCACAGCCGTAAAGGTCTTACGCCGCGCATACGTCAACCTGACGCATGCGCAGAAAATTTGTAGCTTTGAGGTTCGGATTATGGGTGTCCGAATTAACGACTTTGGACTGTATAATGAAATTCTTCATAAAAATGTACATACAAAATATGCTTATTTTTTCTCATAATATGACGGAAAAAAAAAACTTAAGTGGTTTTACTGTTCTGTGTGCATATTCCACACTAAAATAAGTGCAAATATGTAAAATAATAGCCTCTGTAAAGCATACTTTTAAAAACATTGCCCACTTTAAAAATAAAGTTTTTAACTATGGAGAAATATAAAAGAAGTAGAATAATAAGTTTATTCAATTGCTATAGATGAAAAATGGATTTATTTTTGTGAGAAAATTACATTTTAAAAATTAAAAAAAGAAAAGTTTTAGTGAAATAATATGTTTAGTTTCCTGAATATAATTAATTACAGAAAGCATACAGGTTAATTTTTATGTACCATTTAACTTGTAATTTTTGATGTTAGCAATAAACAATAAAAAATAATGGAATGACTAAGATTTAAAAAGAAAATGTTTAATTCAGCCAAAAGCATTAATCACACTCATACAGATGGTTAAGAAATCTCTGCCTATTTTCTAATTATTGTTATACACTCTTCTTGACACTTTGTACCTTCTTTAAATGTTCTTAACATCACCATAATACAGGGGTTGAACAAAAATATGGAAACACCTTTAAAAAAACACGCTTCTTTGCTTAATATGGTGTAGGAAACCCGTTGGCATCCAAAACAGCTTGCAGTCTTCTCGGAATGGATAAATACAGTTCCTGTATGTTTGCCAAGGGAATATTATACCATTCTTTCTACAAAACGGTGGCAAGTTCAGATAACGATGTTGGCGGTGGATAACGAGAGCGCACTTTCCGTTCCAATATAGACCACAAAGGTTCGATAATAATCAGGTCTGGTGACTGTGGTGGCCAGGGGAGATGGAAAAACTCATCCTCGAGCTCAGAAAACCAGTCCTGGACAATGTGAGCTGTGTGAACAGGGGCTTTGTCATCTTGGAAGACACCATCACCATCGGGGAACAAAGTTTGTACCACGCGATGAACTTGATCGACCAAAATGTTCACATAAGTCTTGGCAGTCATGTGCCCTGACACAGTTATCATGGGGCTAGCAGAGAACCATGATATGGCTGCCCAAACCATAACAGAACCCCCGCCATGTTTCACTCTTGGCAACAAGCAGTCTGTATTATAGGCTTGAGATGGCGTTCTCCACACATAAACTCGGCCAGAAGTGGGAAACAATGTGAAAGAAGACTCGTCAGATCATATTACTCGCTTCCACTGCTCTATAGTCCAGGCTTAATGACTTAAACACCACCTTTTCCTGTTACGGGCATTAGCATCACTGATGAGTGGCTTCTCAATTGCAGCACGGCCAGCAATTCCCTGTTTATGAAGCTCCCTTCTAATTGTTTTGGTACTCACAGGGTTCGGTAACACAACATTCATTTCAGCAGTAACTTTTGCAGATGTGGTCTTCTTATTTTTCGTCACAATTGCCCTTAAAGATCGTCTGTCACGATCACTCAGGACACACTTTCGTCCGTGCTGTGATTTAGCAGATGATGTTTTTCTGCTTTTCAAATACAGTCAAAAGTCGTTAATCCGGACTCGTCGCGACTTCGGTGATTCCGAATTATCGATTTTTCCGGATTATAGATCATCAGTTTAAATCTCGTCTGATGGCATGCAGAAATTCTAAAATTAAAAATATGAAACCGTAATTTATGAAATAAAGAACAATTATGATCTAAAGAGTATCAAAATTTACAAAAAAAAAAAAAAAGAAAGAAAAAAAAGAAAAAGAAAAAGCTTAATATTTATTTGTTTACTTTATTAAACATTTCTCTCAATGTAAGTTGTTTAAGTTGCTTCATTTTATGTGATAATACTTTCTCTTTAATTCTATAAAAAGACATAATTTCTTGTTCAGTTACAAAGTTCCGCTGTTCAAGTCCCGTTAATTGCTGTGCCAAGAATACCGACTAACTTGTCAATTGAAATTTTTTCGTTTTCACTAACCTCTCTGTCACATTCTTCATGTCTTTATCCATTTTTTGCAGCAATTCTACTTTTCGTTTGTTGGACATCGAAACATACTTTCGTTTTGTAGATCCTTTGGAAGTTCCAGCATCAGAAATTCTATTTGACATAATCGAAAGTTCAAGTTTACTTTTATAAAATTGCTCTTACAGTCTGCAAAAAATAATAAGCGGGATCCAATTCGAAGATTAAGGAACAACGCAATCATTAACATTAACTGAATAGATAATTAGATAATTTTAGCTTACACCGTCCGTTATACATTAAACGCGCAGGCGAAAACATTTTCTGCACTTGCGCACACGCATATGCGCAGTAGTTAAGGTCTTACGCGCACCCGTAAAATGCCTGTGCGCATGTGCCGACGCGGCGCATGCACAGAAAGTTTTTAGCTTAGAGGTCCGGATTATGGGTGTCCAAATTAACGACTTTTGACTGTATGCGGAATAAATCTTCGATACAGTACCTCTTGAAACACTAAACACCTCGGCTACCTTGCTTACGGAAGCACCTACCATACGTGCTCCAACAATTTGCCTACATTTGAAGTCTGTTAACTCTGACATAATGCAATGACAACGTCACATAACAGTACTCCGACAACAACTGAACTGTTTAGCACATTTACGAAGTTGTATAGGTGGCGTCAGTAGTCAAAAATGCTAGCGCCACCTACATATTTCATTAAAATCAATATTTCTTTTCAAACATGCATTTCACAAGGTGTTTCCATATTTTTGTCCATCCATTGTATATATAAGAACATTTAGAAACATGACTATGCATATAAAAATTAAGTTTAACCGTAAAATAAAAAATATACAATACTACAAAAGAACAAAGGTATTATGTCTGAAATTTTAGGAAAATCAGTACATATCAAAGCTACTGAAGTCCAACACAAAATCACAGATCAGATCATGAGTAATCAAAACTAAAATAATGACTTTTTTTTTGTCATAATAAAAGGGTAAATTATATACATTTAAAGTAAACTGCTTTAGAACTACGAAAAGAGTTAACCTGATCGTGATGAATTAACCATTAATTAATACCACACTGTGAATTAAGAGAAAAATAAACTGCATTTTCACATGTGAAATTTCATAATTAAATTGATTAATTCGCATATATCTCTCAGAAACTACTTGAAAATTAGCATAACATTTTGATATTTTAAAGTCACCTTTATCAGATAAAAAAAATAATAAAATCACTTTTTAATGTAACAGCATACCAGTTAAAATAAATAATGACTTACTATACTGGGTAAAAAAACTATGCAGTTCATTTAAAATTGAATAACTTTATTTTAAATCTAAATCGTCTCCAGTTTTTTTGTTTTACATAGAGAAAAAACGTTTATTATCGACACACAGTCTTTCCTATTCATGTTTTTAATGTGATTAAAATATCTTTCACTTATCCCGTAAAAATTTCGTTGCGCTGCACACACGAAATTATTAACTTCAACAGTTTTGAACTGCGTAAAATATACATTATTCTACAGAAAAGAAAACTTAAAGGAAAAAAAAATTTTTTTTTTTTCTCTAACCTTTAATTCCAGCCATAGTTCTATTAAACTGAAATTGTTTACATCTATGATTCATTCATTATACTTTCTGTTGCTACAAAACTTAGTAGTTGTAGTACTTGAAATCTATTACAGCCTTTTCCCTATATTTAATACAACTATTCCCTGCATTTATTATGTTTCTCTGTATTTTACCCAAACATCCATTGAACATAACATGAATAAAATAGAACTCTATCCTTTAAATTTTATATTATTATACATGAAAATGAAACGCTTTCCCTCCAAAAACCAAAGTAATCTTTCGAATTTTTTTTCCCGTGCCTGTGCTTGATAGTTAAAAGTAAAATCTGTGAACGCACGTTCACAAATTTGGTTCTAATGCACTTGTAAACTAAAGAGGGCAATAATAATATAATGAAAAATAATAGAACAATTTGTAGGAAAAAATTTGATTAAATAAATATGCAGGTAGGAAGAGAAAGCGATTCTTTGTGCTTTTTTTTCTGGGTCAGCCCTAAATCCCTGAACGCGCAGGTCCTCGCTTCATGCGTAAACCGACGTCACAACGAAGCTCCGCCCAGCATCAACAACTTCGTTCGATGTAAACATGATTCGCAACTTTCATGCGGAAATCTGAAATAAGTCTTTGTGAATATCTGTGAATATGTATGTTTGAACGATTTCGAGCATTATACAACTGAATGGCTTGGTTATGTTTCTCCGTATAAGAAACCGAAAGAATAAATAGTGATCATTTTTTAAATTGGTCTTGTATAGAAAATGTAGTGCACGTAAAAAAAATCTTCAGTCTAGTATCAGATATTTTTAATCTTATTTGTACATGATACGATTGCTTCGTCAAGTTCACTGATTAAGCTAAACTTAGCAAAACTAGGAAAATTTAGTCTATAAATTTATCTTTCAAAGAATATTCAGAATAAAACTGGGATTATGGTAACCTCACAGTAAGATTAAAGGGTTATCTGTTATTTTGTAACCAGACCTAAAAAATAGATTCTAAGTTTTTGAAAAATGCCAATCAACTGCATTTCCATATATTTGCTATTTTTTTTCTCATGTCACATCATTCGTCATCATGGGCAAACTTGTGAATAAAATTTATGTAGTTGCTACTAAAACATCTGTGTGTTTTATTAGATTTATGATGCTTCCATAATAACAGATATTTGTCATGCCACCATTCATACTTGTGGATAAATATCCAACTCTCATATAACAATTTATAATTATATCAACACAACTAGAAACTGAATTTCTTTGCTCCAGGCAAACTGGGATTTGTGTTTCCTCGCTTTCAAAATCAATTTAGTTTTATCCAAAATCTAGGCTCCTATTTTTTTTTATCTAATTTTAAATAGTCTTCTTTCAATTCAATAAAGTTTAAAAAAAAGTGTAGACAGTTTCTATTCTCTGACTTCGCAAATCCAACAGATACATCAATCAGAAATTTAAAAAAAAAAAAAAATGACAGTTTTTTATTGCAAGCTGAAATTAGGTGCATTTGAGTAAAAATTTTATATAATGCAATTAAAATATAAAATGAGCAAAATTTCAGGCACATATCTTGTAATACTATTTCTATCATTATCATATTTTTCAAACAAGGAGCTCACATGTGTTAAAAAAAATTCTGCACAATGTTCCTATTAAAAATTTTATGCTCATTTTTTCTCTAATAAGTATGTTTTTAAAATGTTTGTGTACTTTTATCATGCATCTTAATAATACAAGTGAAACTGAAAAAATTAATAAATATCAGATTTTATATGTGGCACTCAACACACTTTTGTTCTGCAGTGTTGCCTCTGCTATAATTTTATGGAACACTGCATTTCTGAATATTAAAAAAAAATGAATATCAATTGCATAGGCTGCATCTTTACTAAATACAGATTCTGCCAAATTGGGAAATAATGTGTAGCAGTGCTAGGAATGCATTTTTTTCTACATATATCAACCATTCAACTTACTTTCTTTGTTTTCAGCATTCATCTTTACTACCTATATTTCTGTCACTGAACTTGATTTAGTATTAAACTATTATTTTAATTCTCAGGTATGCGTACATGGAATTAGTTTCATTATTTAAAAAGATTATTAGTAAGTAAGATGCTTGCAATGGTATATTGCTAAAATATATAAGCATGCAGGAAAAGAATTGTTTTAAAGGACATAAATTATATCTTAATAGACTAATCAACAAACCAATCAATAATATAATTTGCTATTTCAGAATTTTCAGCAACAATACATTTTCTTATCTTTCTTTTTAATTTTTCAAAGCTACAAAACAGAAAATAAATCCATGACTGTTTCAAAATTTAAATACTCAATAAATAAAAGTGTGGAGAACAAAATATGATTTTAATAATGAATATTTATAAGGAATAATGTTTAACATTTATAAGAACTGTTCAAATAAACTATCACTAACAGCAACACATGCATCACAACCACAATGAGGTAACTGGCATATACTTTGAAAGATGGCCGGCATGCACTTCTACAGCAATGGTGCTAATTTGGTGCCAAGGTCGGACTAGGGTTTCAAAAATTTATAGTTAACTATCACAAATTCTGCAAAAACGTGCCTTGTGGTATATAAAAAATTTCTTCAAATTTTGTACATGCCAAACAGATCTCCTTTTGTGATCTAGTTTTGGCTAGCCTATATCAAATAATATAACAAAACAGTTTGCATCATACAGGCAATCAGTCTCTTCAAAATTTGTTGCACTATGCATGAACTATCTTCTCTGTAAATACTTCTGTTTGATAGTTCATAACGTAGAGTAAACTTGGAAAGATTTGTTATGTACTGCTAAGTAACTTTTGCTGTATTTAATATTACTATTACATTAGTGTTTATAGAGTATAAACTCTGAAGGGAAATATGATACCTCGTGTTTTAAAGAAATTATTCTGTACTTTGCTATTAACGCAATTGGTACAGTCTATAAACAAGCTATTCTTTTTTCTAAAATTACAATTTTAAGTTTTTAAATTATTGAATATAGTTCTGTTTGGATCATAATTATACTTACAAATTAACACTGCATTATTTAGATTATAACAAAGGACTGAACAGCTATTTGTCCTAAGAGGAAGAATGCCTTTGTGGAATACTTTTTATAAGATAAGTTTCCTCGCTTCCATGTTACACATGGAAAAAACCACAAAACTCTCATACAATCAATCCATTTACTGGGATTTGAAACTGGGTTGAACTAATAACACTCCTCAGTTTTACCAATTGCCTATTGTGAACCATTTCCATTGCAGGAAAATATTGTTAATACACATTAAATATGGGTCCCACCAGTCACTGAGAAGTTATGACCACTGAACACTGGTAGTTCAACCCAGGTTTGAACACACTCAAATGATCTAGCTGCATGGTTGTTTTTCCATGTGTAACATGAATATGAGCTAGTTTCCCTTAGAAAGTTCTCCACAAAGGTATCCCTGTCCTTAGGCATGTAGCCCTTGTGTACTTGTGCCATATTAAAATAACCTAACCTTAAATTTGAATGCAGTTTTCACAGTTATGGTAAATCACACATTTTAAGGTATTTTTTAAAAATTTCTTGAACTATAGAGAAAATTACTCATTATCTGTAATATGTGTTATTGATCGTTTCGTATTCCTAGACATCCATACCCTGTAAGGTCATTAGGCCTTTAACTGTAATAACTCATTTGCATCATTGGAAAGAAACATTATATCTATTGCAACGATTCATCCACTACCACTTGTTTTTCTATATTCTCCTTTTTCTATATAACACACATATACGTCTAAGTTTTTGTGCTTTTGTTCTCACCATATACACAGTCATCTGTTTTCAGGTAAGGAAACATCTGAGAATATTATAAACTTGCTATTAAAATTCTAAAAACAAAAAGAAGAAAGAGGTGCATGATGTCTTTAAAGCAAGCCACATTACAGTCTATGCATGCAGAATGGCTAAATATGAGATTTTGCCGAAAACAATCAAAACTGCACTATGCTGTCCACCACTAGGCTAAAACATTAAAATTCCCATTGCAGGGATTATAATCTGCAGTCATGCTACTGATAAACCATCTGGGAGAATGCTATACATATGCATGAGTTGAACAATAAATATTTTTTGGTGACATCATGGGTTGCCACTTAAATGCTTCTTGGCGACATGATGCGTTGCTTCATCGATATATTCTCATGGCTTATGGGTGAAGGTGTACGAAAAAAAATCAACTGGCAAAATATTAGGTACTGTTCTATTATCAGGACCGGATTAACAAATGTATGCATGTACACATATATGCATATGTGTATACACATACATTCGTACTTACATATATGAACACATACATCCATATATACATGTATACATATCTACATTTCTGAATTAGGTCCTGATAAAGGAACAGTGCCAAATATTATACAGAAATAGATAAATTATGTGTTTAATAGACAATACAGTGGCTATTAAAATAACACCCTTATCAACCAGTTAAATATCCTTTACATACTTCAACACAGCCTCTTTCTGCTCAAACATTTATAGATTTAGAAATTTCCTGTGAGGAGACATCAGTAAATTTTCAAGTCCAATTGTAATGTAGAGTTTTATGAAATTAACTAAAACATACGTAATACAGAGTAATGACACATTTCTATATTTTAAAAAGAAATTAAAAGACATTCATAATTGGAGGACATCAAAATCAAAACATACTGATATGGCAACGAAATGAACTGAAATATTAACAGAACCTTAGTTTTAAAAATGTTACGATACTTCTTTAGTATTGCAGCTTCCATTTTTTTTTAAACATCAAGCTGGCATCAGAATTATTGCCAACTTCATGTCTCATGTACACTTTGTTACTGCCCTGCTTCCTCAATTGCTTTTAATATGGCATAAGAAGCATTCCAAGGTCTCAAAGATTTTTGCTATATTAATTCTGCAAAGTAAGATTCATGATGATAGTGAAACGTGCCTCTTCAATTTTTATTCCACCACTTAGTGAAGCTCCACAGTCTTTCTATATTTTATATATGAGTAGCTGTTAGATCAAGAAAATGAAATTTATTGTCTTCAGAAAAATATCTGTAAGCTGGTATTTACCAGTTCTTGTCTTTTATATTCTCACCAGAAGTTTGAATAAATTGTCAC